GCAGACATCAGGGAGTGATGGAGTTTGGAGGACTCAGGAGAACACACTCCATCTACAGGGACAAAATGTTTCTAGATCTGATTTTTTTTTTTCCCTAAAGCCTGAAATTTTAGACTTTTATTTGAAACCTCCCAATTTTTAAATATTGGCAGTTAATTCAGAATGTTTAAAAACACAGGACAAACAAATATGCAGGCCACATTTGGCCCACAGGGTGGTCAGATTGTGACCTCAGTGTTAAGAAAAGGAAGCAAGAATAAAAACTTCTTAAGCATCTACCCATGTAGCCCACACTGTCTAGGTGTTTTCCATGTTCCATGTCCTTGCATTGGCCTAACCTCCCTGAGTGGTGTATCTTTAGCTTCATTTACAGAGGAGGACAATAGGGCTCAGAAGGGTTAAGTAGTTTGCCCAAGGTCTCATAACCTAAGGACTGAAAGTCAAAGCAGGAGATCTTTTTACTATATTGTGCTGTCTTTTAATTACAGATACTAGGCCAAGTCTTAAGCAAGAAATAAACAATCAAACAAATAAGCAAACAAACAAAACAATTTCTTTACTAAGAGACCCACCAACTGAGCCTGATTTTAAGGTTGGGGTCCTCTTTGAAACATGAATATGAGCACCACCTGGGGAATGTTCTCCAAAGATAGACACGTTCTTACATATATGAAGGTTCTGTTCCACTTTCCTAGAGTGTACAAAGACCAAGACTGTCCTTAAATATGAAATTGCATGTGTGGAAAAGGCCTGAGATGTACTTGGCAGCTTGATCTTTCTGTATTTGGTTTGCAAAGTCTCATTTTCCAGACATGTGTTTTTGCTTAGAAACACACAGAGTGGATAAATCCCAGGGTCGGCGTCCCCGGAGTCGCTCCATTAACTTTCTTGGCATGGCCTCACCACTGAAGTCAACATGACTTAAGAGTTTATATAACATTTTATTAGGCTTTAATTCCATACTTTTCCTGAAGTTCAGTGTTCATGTGTTGGGTAGAAAATAAATGTTGCTCATAACTCAAAGACCAAAGTTTTCTAACTTTTAATTTGTTTTAAATTAATTTACTCAGCTAATTGTAATTTTAAGCAGGCAGGAGGGAGTTTTGAACACTCCTGAAGGAAAAAAATATCTAATATATATAAACTACACACACACACATATACATGGTTTGTATATATACACACACACGAGTGTATATATATATTTTTATATATGTATATGTATATATATGTAACAAGGTAATCAGCCTTCTGAGAAAAGTAAGTGGACAGATTTCCAAAGTTCAATGAGATAAAGAAAACGGAATTATTTTACCACAATAGGAGTCATGTGACTCTGGAGATCACATTTGACTGGCTTTGTCTTCTGACAAATCTCTTGCTTTATAATCCTTACCAGACTTTTCTAAATGTGGAGCTTTGTGTTTCCCTTAAAGAAAAAGAAGAGTGCCACCAAAACACAATTATTTGAAAATGTACTATTCAGACAAAATCTTTCGACCAGTGGATGTCAGCAAGAGACTATTTTGCTCCCCAGGGTATAGTTAGCAGTGTCGGGAGACATTTTCGGTTGCCATGACTTGGGGAGCTGCTACCGGCATCTCAGGGGTAGATGTATACCACGACGCACAGAGAAAGAATGACATAGAGATGCCCTAAAGATAAAGAGATGGTGCCTACATTTTTCATCTCAGAGGGAAAAGAAGGTAAATATTTCTTCCGATTCTCTGATGCAGAATCATATTTTGCAGTTAGATATTGGCAATGCCTTTCACAATTGTAGAGAAGGTTCAGAATTTGGGAAGGCTGAACACAAAACTCAAATTTTGTACTGGCTATCAAGTAGTCTCAGGCAAGGTTCACAGACTCATTGAAACTCAATGTCCATACTTAGAAATAAGGGTAAAGAGGATAGTGATACCTGCTCATCTGACCTCAGGAGATATTGAGAAAATCAGATCAGTTAATGACTAACAAGGTACACATAGATAACCACAACCACAATCCCCATCTTTAGTATCCAGGAGAATTGAAAATGTCCATATGGAAGTAGCATGGTTTCCTTTCTCATTCATTCATTTCTTCAGCAAACATTTACTGTGCACCCACTACATGCCAGGCACCCTGCTAGGTTCTGGGGTCATAAAGATGAGGTAGACATCAAGACTTTATCTCCTTACTGCATTAATTTCTACTTTTCATCATCTTGCTGTTACTGCTGTATAGGACAAGAGAAACAGGTTTTTGGATAAATGACATCAACAATCCCTGGAATCCTTGTTTCAGAATCTCTTTCATAGTCAGTGATCCCACTGAAGAAGGACACTGTAAGATTAGGAGTGTCTGAATACATGTATTGGTCAGTGTTAGGAAAAGGATTGCATAAATCCGTTGGGGTGTAGCCCATGCTAATTCAGCCTCAGGCCCACCCACTCCTAGAAATACCAGGAATATAGGCATTGTCCTATGTGGACTAATGGGGAATACATTCACATGAGAGCAAAACTTCCAAAGATTTCAATTTAATTCCCTGAGGATTTGTCAATAGACTTTTGATTATAAAGTCAAATTATACCCTGTTCTTTCCAATCTTTTTTCCAAAACCCCAGAAATAATTACCTTCCCCCACCTCCCTACACTCACCCTGTCCCCTCATAGTACATTGTACAAGACTCATTACTGTGTGCATGGTGTACGTGTCTACAAATGTAGGTATATTTAATATATCCCCACTGCTGGACAGTGAAATCAAGGAATGAAAAGAAAGAAGCAAATGGTTTTGGCACAAAAAGACAGCCAAGCACTGTGTACCAAGACATGCCAAGTACTATTACTTTGGCCCATGACTTTCAACTTCAGAAATGCAGCAGAACTTTCTGGGAAACTTTACAGAAGTACAGAGGGCATAAAACTGATTGAGAAATGGACTGAGAGGGTTAAATCCCATATCAGCCACTTAACTAGATATGGACTTTGGGGAAGTTACTTAGTCCCACCATGCTGCAGTTTCCTCATCTTCAGTGGGGATGATACAATTACCTACTTCATAGGGCTGTTGTGAGAATTAAATGAGGTAATTTATGCAATACAGAGCAGTGTTTGGTACCTACTAAGTGTTTGCTGTGGCTATTAGTATGGCTAAAACTATTTTTTTTAACATTGTCCTCTTCATCAATATCATTACAGATGTCTTTGGCCCAAGTTCAGATATGTTCTACCAGTTCCAACGACTTAGGGACCAGGCATCAGTATTTTGAATGACTGAATGAATTGAAAATCACATGCAACAGGAGAGATCCAGAGGAGAAAGACAGTAAAGAAGGAATGAGAGCCAGAAGCATTTAATTAAACCTGAGGAATTTCTTACCAGGAAGAGCAGTCAGACTCTCTAGGACATTAGTGACAGAGCACATGGAATCTTGTTCCCTGGGAACTTTAATTACTGGGGCAGGTAGCACTCGCTCTTGGAAGATCTCAGCACAGAGTCTAGCCTTGAGCCAAAGGAAGTCTTTTTTTTTTTTTTGAGATGGAGTCTCACTCTGTTGCCCAGGCTGGAGTGCAGCGATGCGAACTCAGCTCACTGCAAGCTGCGCCTCCCGGGTTCATGCCATTCTCCTGCCTCAGCCTCCCAAGTAGCTGGGACTACAGGTGCTCACCACCACGCCCGGCTAATTTTTTGTATTTTTAGTAGAGATGAGGTTTCACCGTGTTAGCCAGCATGGTCTCGATTTCCTAACCTCGTGATCCTCCCGCCTCGGCCTCCCAAAGTGCAGGGATTACCGGTGTGAGCTACCGTGCCCGGCCAAAGGAAGTCTTTAATGACCACTTGGTCTCATTCTAGAATTCCAAGTATGTCTTTTCCCTTTCTGTAGGGCACAGGTGAAAGAAAAGAGGGCAACTGATTGCCAGAAAACTCAGCATTAATTCTATGCAAATTCTCTTTGTAAATACCTTTCCGTTTACATTTTGCCTTTGAATAGCTTGGTTTCTACCCCACACATGCCATTCCTCACCACAGTGCCCATTCCTTCAGTCCCTACTCATTGGACCTTGGCCCTTTCTCACATCCCACCCTCCCCTGGGAATTGGTATCCTATTGAATTTTGCTCCAAACCAAACACAGAAGATACTCAGTAATCATTTGTTGAAAGATGACGATAACTCAAATAAAGCTTAGTGCAGAAAGTAGCTAAAAAATAAATATTGGACATCAGTTTCTGAAATCCCTGTTCTCCCATTCCTAATTTTTGTAAAGTCCACCTTCTCCCACACAGTGCCTTGCAAAAATTAATATTTGGTAAAAATATATCATCCAATCATAACAAACAGTGAGGGAGATTTTAAAGTTAAACTCATATATTGATATGGTTTGGCTGTGTCCCCACCCAAATCTCATCTTGAATTGTAGCTCCCATAATCCTCATGTGTCATGGGAGGGACCCAGTGGGAGGTAATTGAATCATGAGGCAAGTTTGTGTGTATGTGTGTGCTGTTCTTATGATAGTGAATAAGTCTGATGTGATCTGACGGTTTTACAAAGGGCAGTTACCCTGAACATGCTGTCTTGCCTGCTGCCATGTAAGACGCGTCTTTGTTCCTCCTTTGGCTTCCACCATGATTATGAGACCTCCCCAGCCATGTGGAAATGTGAGTCCATTAAACTTCTTTTTCCTTATAAATTACCCAGTCTTGGGGACTTCTTTATTGCAGTATGAACATGGACTAATACCTATATGTTATATAGTTTTATTTTCCTTGAAAAATAGAATCGTTTGGAACATTATAATAACAAATGAATGAGAACACTCCTTCCCCTAAAATCTGCTACTGACTCTTGCAGGATCCTGAAAGAATCATGGAATCACTCCAAATATTTGTTTCCTGGCGTCAAAGAATAAAGAAAATAAAGCTTTTCTTCTAGGGAGCTCAAAGCACTTCCTTTTGAATACTTTTTGGTTCTCACAGCTTTCCTAAAAGCATATGGGATTTTTCTGGGCACCAAGATGCTAAATGGTTCACTCTAAAGTGAATTGGCAGTCAAAATGAAAGTCAGAAGAAGAAAGCCCTAGCCTGACTTTTGTGGTGTGCTGGTAAATGTTTAACATTTGCTTCTCTAGAAACAAAAAGAAGCCCTGATTTATCTGATTTATAAGCACTTACCAATTTCTGTGGTGTAAATTCTCCCACCATGGCTGATTTCAAGCTATTAATTGGGACATAACTGAGTACAGAGTTGGGAAGAGAGGCTCATAATTGGCGGTCATAAACAATCATGAAAGTTGGCTCCAGCACACCACTGCCTGACTTTTCCAACCCGATAGTTCATCAGTTTCATAGATGTAAATGGTTGGTGACTCAGCCTCCTCTACATCACCTTTATGACGTGTGCAGGTATGATTTGGATGGTTGTGTTTCAAAGCACAATGCATGTTTCCATGAAGCTCCTTGAAGGCAAGATGGTAGCCTGTTTACCTTTGTGTCCTTGGTGTTGAGCACAGGGTAGCCAGTAAATAAACAGCTGCTTCTAAGAAAAATATCTATTTGTAATCTAAGATCTTTTAGAATGAAACTTGCCATGCTAGTTTCTCATTATTGTAACTACATAGATAGATTCTAATTTATCCCATTTTGACCTGATACACAATCTAAGCCTCCAAGACTGTCAAGTTGAAGGGAATAAATTCTCAGGCAATTCCAATGAGTAGAATCTGTCTTTTAGGATTGCACAATTTCCTCTAGTGACAGCTATCACCCTGGAAAAGACAGTCCAAGTAATGACCACACATTAACACAGACTGATATAAGCTATTCACAATTTCCTCCCAGCATACTTGGCAGAGAGCTAGAGGGTGGAGGGACAAAGCAATGTTAAGTTTCAATAAAAGAGAGAGAGAAAAGAAGGGAATTGGAAAAGATGTGTTCTATAGTCTGAAAGTCTGTGTCCCCCAAAATTCATATCCTAACCCCCAAGATGATGGTATTAGGAGGCTAGGTCTTTGGGAGGTGATTAGGCCATGAAGCTAGAGTCTTCATGAATGAGACTAGAGCCTTTCTTAAAGAGGCTTCACAGAGCTGCTTTGTCTCTTCCACCATGTAGAGACACAGAGAGAAGATACTGTCTGAACCAGGAAGCTGGCCCTCACTAGACACTTAATCTGCAGGTGCCTCGATCTTGGACTTTGTAGCCTCTAGAATTGTAAACAATAAAGTTCTGTTGTTTATAAGCCACCCAGTTTATGGTATTTTGTTATAGTAACCTGAAGGGACTAAGACAATATGGAACACAAAATTTGGTCAGGGCAGGATGGCAGGGGTAGTAGGACACTTGACAGAGTCAGGAACACCAAAGTGAAGACGTGGGTAGGAACTAAGACCCCAGTGTTGATCTGAACTATGAAACGGTTCTTGATTCTCCATTTAATTAGTTATCATGAGTCTGTTTGTTTTTAAATCAAAAAAGACCATCCAATAGCTTCATTACTTTTGTAAATGTGATTACTAAAAAAACTCCCTAGTTAAGTTTACATTCCTGGGGGACAAGCCTTCCCACAAGGCATAAAACAATGGATCGATTTGAATTACCTTCCATTCTTTCCTCACCTTTCAGGTGCCTGCATTGTAATGAATGTGGAATAGGTGCACACTTGTACTCTCTGCTTGTTTGGGGTGTCGGCTTAGGAACCAGATGCATCAACCTTGCCAAGGCTTAGGAACCAGATGCATCAACCTTGGGTCAAGACAACTGCAAGAGGGAGAAAGGGGATGAACAGAAAACACACAGGAACCTCCAAAGCTCCTATGGAAGAACAGATGTACTTTCTGCATTGGCTAGGCCTAACTAGGGTCTCCACTTCAAATATTTGCCAGACCCAGATAATACAAAGCCACTCAGCAAAGTATGAACTACCCCGTCATTCGCACCTCACCTACCTTAGACTCTGGCAAAGAGTGAAACAGCAGCTGTATGGGAGAGGGGAGAAAGAAGGTGAGCAGAAAAGAGTAAAAAGAACAGTGTTTTCCTTCCCCACTGCAGCCTCCAGTTTGGATTGGGTCTGAGCCACAGAGGAGGGAAGATCTAACTCCAAAAGATCAAGCCTCATCAGTTCCCCAGAAGCAGATATTCTTTTTTTTTCTTTTTTCTTTGTCTTTTTTTCTTTTTTGGAGACAGAGTCTTGCTCTGTTGCCCAGGCTGGAGTGCAGTGGTGTGATCTTGGCTCATTGCAACTTCTTCCTCTCAGGTTCAAATGATTCTCCGGCCTCAGCCTCCCGAGTAATTGAGACTACAGGTGTCTGCCACCACACCTGACTAAGTTTTTGTATTTTTAGTAGAGACGGGGTTTCACCATGTTAGCCAGGATTTTCTCAATCTCCTGCCCTCGTGATCTGCCTGCCTCAGCCTCCCAAAGTGCTGGGATTGTAGGCGTGAGCCACGGTGCCCAGCCCAGAAGTAGATATTCTAGTTACTAAATTGAGACCCTGTTGGTAACTTAAAGTGGCTGAATCCTACCTGAGCATGAGCAGAAAAGATGTGGCTAGCATTCTCCAGGACAGGGGGAAGAAAAAAATTATTATAACAGGTTTCAATAGTAGCCCCTAAAAGATATGTCCATTTGGAACATGTAAATGTGACCTTAAGTGGAAAAAAAACAGGGGTGTCTGCAGATGTAATTAAGAATCAACATGAGATCATCCTGGACTGGGGCAGGCCCTAAATCTAATGACAAGTCTTTCTAGGTGAAGAGAAGGGAAAATAGACAAAGACACAGGGAAAGAGGCCATGTGAAGAAGGAGGCAGAGATTGAAGTGATGCAGCTACAAGCCCCAGAATGTTGAAGACTGCCCGCAACACAAGAAGCCAGGACGTGGGCCTGGAACCATCTCCCTCAGAGCCTTCAGAAGGAACCAACCAACGCTGCCGAAACCTTGATTTTAGTCTTCTGGCTTGCAGAATTGGGAGAGAGTACATTTCTGTGGTTTTAAGCAGCTTGGATTGTGGTACTTTGTTATAGCTGCGACATGAAACAGACACTACCCTATAGAAACCTAAAGAGATAATGGAAAGCACAATAGGGCTGCATTTTATCAAAATCGACAGGACAAGCTCGTGCTGTGCGCAGGTTACAGGTGTTTTTATTTTCCTTTCTCTGGCTCACGTGGGAGCAATAATCAAGAGATGAAGCCTCACCAAGCTAGCTGTTGTCCCAGAGTGCTGCTCAAGGCAGAATCAGAAGGCAAAAAAAAGGTTACACTGAGAAGAAAGGAAGCCTCGTGAGCCTGCAGCTGTCCTCCAAACTGCAGCCTCACAACGGTAGCGACTCTTCCCTCATGCTCCATTTTCTGCCTCTGGAAGCAAGCAGGTTGCTGCTGCATGTGGAATAAACATGAGCTTCCTGCCATCTAAACCAGTTACTCCTTTGCTCGTTCTTGGAGTCTTGCTTCCTGCTGAAGAGAACCAGGGTTCCACCAGGCCTCTGCTGCAGGGGTGTCCATAGAAGCTTGGGTTTTATGCTGTTTGTGGCCTCACCCCAGTTACCCGCTGCGAGGTAACAGTTTTGTGGAGACAGGCCCTTGGAAAGAAAATTCATAATATTTTGCAGAATGTAAAAAATGAAGAGAATCGTGGTATTTGAATGACAACAAATTGGACGTGTGCCAGTCCAAAAGCAGTTTTTCCCCCTTGACTAGATTTGGACAGAACAGGCAACAGTTGTTTTCTGACAGAGCCTCACTGTAGTTTTTTAAAATGGAGGAAAACAGACAAAGAAAAAGACCTTATTCCCTCCATATTGGTTGGCTCAAGGAATTCTCTTCTGAACAGGGTGGGGGAATGGAAAGGTGAGGGTATGCAGAGGGTGATTGGTTAACCTCCTGAACGCTATGTCTATCTGCTGGATTAAGTTCATCAGTGCAGAGCACCTGGGACTGTCCAGGGCCACCTGAACCTTATATATTTATTTAAGAGGATAAAGAGATGCACAGAGAGTGTGGGTGATTTGCCAAATGACACACAGAGACAGGGAGACTGCTCTTGCATCTCTAGGCCTGGTGCTGCTGACTGTTCTCAAAAGATCTTGAACCAGTATCTTCCAGAACCAAGGAAAGGTATTTTCATCACACCATGGGGTCTCTCATTGTTTCCTGAACTTCAGACAGTGAGAGGGGGAAGGAAGTTAGCATGTGCAGAGTCCTTGCAGTGCACGGAGCCCTGGGTGACATTCTTTACCTGGGATGTTCTACACCATCCTCCTGACAAGCCCATGGGGCAATGTGCCATTATCATTTTCATTTTAGGGCTAAGGAAACTGAAGTCTAGAGGTGGGGCAATTTGGCTGGTTTCTAGCAGACCTGGGATCTCCTGATTCTCCATCTGATGCTCCTGCTACACCTGTTGCTTCTACTCACTGCAAAACAGAAGGCAGGAGTCAAAGAAAAACACACAAAACTAGGCAGAGCTCCAAACTCCAAATGCATGCAATGCACAGAATCTCAATTTCGCTCATCTGCAAGGCTGACTCAAGGATGGCAATAGGTTTACTCACGGGGAGCAACTGCATAGACAGACAGGTTGAGAAGGATTCAGAGGCACGCTCAGGCCTGGAGAAAAGGATTGCTGGGATCCATTAGCAACTTCTGCCTGAATAGGGTTGAGGGGCCAGATGTGCCTGCACCTCACACAGCTGTCCCTGGACTGGCCTCAGGCTTGGCATGCTCTGTGCACTTGTATGTTATGGAAGGTCATGGCATGGCATGTGTGGCCATTCACCTTCCCTCTCACCCTGGGCCTCTGCTCATCTTCCACCATCACCACAACCTCTCATCCCAGACAAGAATATCCTATATAACAGAATTCTTCAAATACAGGCTGGGATTCAATTGAGTTCATGAATTCAAATTATTGGGTCAAGACCAACATCTTTAAAAAAACAAAATGTACAATTTAAATAGAGTAGACTAGAAAGTTAAAATGCATTTCATATGCTAAAAGGATAGTTTCATAAATTTTTAATCAGATATATACATATGATAAATATATATATACCTGTACTGGGTCACTTGTAAAATATGTTTATTACTGTGGGTCATGGTCACAATGGCTTGAAAAACACTTTGGCAAAGTGTTGGTTCCAGGAGACCCCACAGCCTGGATGGACACAATCACTGCTCTGAAACTGCCTGTTCCCCTCCTGGTTGAGGAGCTTAGCCTAGAGAAACTCCTGACTTGGCTGGAGTTCTGCCCTCTGGGGCAACATAGCACAAGGTGAATCCCTCTCCGTGATAGCTCTCAGTCTCTTCAAATCCTGCTGTCTCCCAAGCTAAGCCTCTTCTCTCCTTTTACATTTCTCTCCTCTGCAGGGGCATTTCTAGACCACCAAGTTTCTTTTCACATGCCATGAAGGCCACTACACTTTTGTTTTCTAACATCCCTCCAGCATTTTTTTAATGAAATACTTTCACAAATAAGAAGCATAAAAGCTATATTATCCTGAGCACTTACTACATGCCAGGCACTGTACTAATTACATTGCATGTTCTATTACTCCAGATTCTTTAGAGCAAGTGACAGAAGCATAAATCAAAACAGCCTCAGCAGAGATGTATTTTCTTATGCAACTGAAAACTCAAGAGATTTAGGTGCAGTTAGATGCAAAGAGAGCCATTACAGCTCTGTCTTCTTTGTTCTCTTTCTCACCTCTGCCTTAGTTCATCTTGGCCTCCTCTAAGGCTGACTCCCCCAGTGCTCAAGACCTATATTCTAGCTCCCTATTTGGAGCAGAAAAAGAGCTTCTCTTTTCCAATAGCTCCTGCTGCAGTGCTGGATATGGTTCCCACTGGTCTGGTTTGGGTCACATGCTTATCTCTATACTAGGAAATGGGGTCAATCCCCTTGAGCTTTACAGACTGAGCATAAGCTTAGGTGGTGCTCAGAGGAAAACTAAGAGTGGGGAGCTGTCACCAGAAAGGGGAGAATGAATATTGAGCAACTAAAGCAAGAATAATCTACCAGGGACCTCACAATATTGTAAGCAAGATGTTATTCTTAGATGTGGAACTGGTCAGAATGATTATGTAATTTGACTATGACCTCATGGTCAAGAGGTGATAGAAGTGGGACTCCAACTCCAGTTCTTGTTCCTTGTCCTATACTACGCTGTTCTGCCTGCACTACCCTCCTGGCTGCTCATTGGTTTGGGCTGTGAGCTGTCAGTTCCCTTCATCTCAGCTCCCCAGAGACAGGTACAGTTGCCTCTGGTGAAGCCAGGCCACATGGCTGATTCAGTCCACTGAAATCTGGATGCTGATTTTTAATCAAGTTCTTCCAGCCTATAACCCTGTTGATTATTTTCTAAAAGATAGAGGAGTCTACCTTTATCCTTTTATACTTAAAAAGTATCTCATATATGTTGACAAATATAGTAATATATTTTGATCTTTACATGGATCCACAGAGGAAGGTTAAGAATAGTCTCTATTTTATGGAAAACACATGTGAGTCAGAAAGGTGAAGTTACTTTAGTAATCTGTCTAAGGTCACACACTAATTAGTGACAGAGCCAGAATTCCAATCCAGCTAGTCACACAATTTCTAATATTTAAAACCTGAGTTTGTCCTGTTCCATGGAGAGCTTAATGAACCTTCACTTTCCTCATTCACATTTCATCTAGCCCTCTTTCCCAAATGTTTGTCATTACCAGTGTAATCACTCTGCCTGTGTCTTGATCTAAATCAGAGATCAGCAAACTCGTTGGAGCTCTATCTCATTGGACTGGTCCCTTGCCTAGTTTTACAAATAAAGTTTTATTGGAACATAGTCATGCATGTTTATTGAAAAATAATCCATGGCTGCTTTCATGGTACAATGCTAGAGTTGGGTAATTGTGAGAGAAATCTAAGGGTCTCCAAAGCCTAAAATATTATCTGTCTGGTCCTTCATAGAAAATCTCTTTTTTGGTCAGAGATTTGCCAATCTCTGATCTAAATCATTGATGAAGAGCTGAACCAAACATAGAGATCTACCCTGCTGCCCAACACTGGAAATCTTTGTCAGGCAGCTTGTGATCAGCACTCCTTGTAGTCAGTCCTCATGTAGAACCAGTATGCAAGGACAGTCTACTGGTACAAGCCAATCTATCACTATCTTCTGTACGTCACTTAGATATTTGGTACCTACCTTTGGTAGATATAGGCACCAAAT